GTTCAATAAAAAAATGGGTCTTTAGTTTCCCTGGAATCATAGGTCTACTTTTGTGGCCCAATAGCGGGGCAGAGTTTGGAGGCGTACATATACCATATTTATGTATAGATAAATTAGGTAAGGTGGTAGCTGATATAGGATTAAGTACATATATTGTATTATTCGAGGCTGTGTCGTACATTGCCACCCAAGAAATTGAGGGAGATATGTATAATTTCAGCCAGGAAAGTGGCATTTAGTATGTACGGACTCTGCCTGGTTTAACGTTTTGCAGAAATGAAGATGCAGTCAGTCAGATGGCTGTTGCTCCCTTCCCAGTACCATCGAGTTCCCCATCATCTACTGAGGTAAGGCTGCTCCAGATCAGGGTCCTGCTGACTTCAGGGGGTTTGTCATGATTATTTTCCCTAAACCTGATATTTTTTATTTTCTGCTATTGCGTATTCCAAACTCACAGATTTCTTAACTAGTAAATTTATCTGGTAAAATGGAAAATATTTCAGATAAAATTATAAAGCAAACGCAACAATGGTAACTAAACATTCCCACTTCATACCTTACACCAAGATATTAAGCGGATCATCCAGGACTTGAATTATCTCCCATATTACATGAACAAACAGAAGTTTATTAACATGTATATTTCATATGTAGTAGGAGACACCAAGAAATGAGTAGTAGTCAGGCCAGTGCCGCAGCTCACTAGGCTAATCTTCTGCCTTGCGGCGCCGGCACACCTGGTTCTAGTCCTGGTCGGGGCGCCGGATTCTGTCCCGGTTGCCCCTCTTCCAGGCCAGCTCTCTGCTGTGGCCAGGCAGTGCAGTGGAGGATGGCCCAAGTGCTTGAGCCCTGCACCCCATGGGAGACCAGGAGAAGTACCTGGCTCCTGCCATCGGATCAGTGCGGTGCGCCGGCCGCAGTGCGCTGGCCACGGTGGCCATTGGAGGGTGAACCAACAGTAAAAGGAAGACCTTTCTCTCTTTCTCTCTCTCTCTCACTGTCCACTCTGCCTGTCAAAAAAAAAAAAAAAAGAAAGAAAGAAAAGAAAAGAATTGAGTAGTAGTCAAAGAGATATCTGAATTCTAGCTTTTATATCATCTTTAACAAAGTACATTTTCAGAGAAGTGACAAGACAGAGGCAAAGGGATTTAATTCTCTGGAGGTGGCAACTTAGGAGAAAGTAGGTTACCAGCAGATCTAGTTAGTAAAGCTTGCTTTAAAGAAAAAAGAAAAAAAGGAGGAGATGCAGGAGCAGAAAGAGAAAGATCTTCCATCCTCTGGTTCAGTCCCCAGATAGCTGCAACATCCAAGGGTGGGTCAAACCAAAGCCAGGAAACAGGAGCTTCATGTGGGTCTCCCACATGGTGCAGAAGCCCAAGCACTTAGACCATCCTCCACTGCTTTCCCAGGCACATTAGCAGGGAGCTGGATCTGAAGCAGAGCAACTGAGATTCAAATAGCCCATATAGGATGCTGACACCACAGACAGCAGCTTAACCCACTATGTTACTGCGCCAGCCCCTACGCTTTTATTGTTATAGCATAGATACCCCCTACTGTAAATTGCTGAGTCAAAAGCTATACGTGTTCAAAATTTTAACCTCTGTTGGCCGATTACCATCTAAAAAGATTACAGGGATAGGTAATGATTCCCCACTAATAGCCATTTTGTCACACCCCTACTAGTCCTAGGTTTTATCATCCAAATTAAGACTTAAGAGAGGTGCTGGCGCTGTGGCTTAGCTGGTAATGTTGGCTACAAATGTTCCCATCAGAACATCATTCCCTAGAGCTTTATTTGTCGTTTATTACACATATTTTTTCTCAATACAAAAGAAAGCACCTTTATAAAGCCAAGCATGATCTTACTGCTTTCATTATGTTGTCTCATGTTTACTTACATCTACTCTGAGACGGTGTTGCTATTTCCAAGTGAAGACGAGACTGGGCTTAGAGAGGCTGTATAACACCCACAGTGCCTCAGTGCAGGCATGTGATTCAGTATCCACCTCCTCACCTGCACCTGGGTGGGTGGCAACCAAGCCGTCACAAACCTTCTTGAGACCCAAAAGAAGTAACGAGAGCAAAGCTTTTGGTACAGTTTATGGCACAAGTGAGTAAATGCTCAGTAAATGTAAATTATTTCTTCAAATATTGAAGTATATTTAATTCAGTCTTTTTAAAGACAGAGTTATTTATTTGAAAGGCAGAGTTACAGAGAGAGAGAAAGAGGTCTTCCACCTGCTGGTTTACTCCCCAAATGTCCCCAGCAGTTGGGGTTGAGCCAGGCCAAAGCCAAGAGGCCAGGAGTTTCATCTGGGTTTCCCATGTGGGTGCAGGAGCCCAAGCACTTGGGTCATCCTCCACGGCTTTCCCAGGCGCATTAGCAGGGAGCTGGATCAGAAGTGGAGCAGCCAAGATATGAACCAGTGCCCCTCTGGGATGCCAGCAATGCAGGTGGTGGCCTAACCCACTATGCCACAATGTCAGCCCCTTTACTCGATCATTTAAGTATACTAGTCACTATTGTTTTCATGTTTTTCAATTCTGCCAATTACAGAAATAGTTCTGTCATTCAGCCTCATTGGTATAAAAAGTAAATTTCAACTTCATCTTAGCCTATCAAAATTAGTAAAAAGTCAGAAAAATAACACTTTTGGTTTCTATCAGTTACCTGTTGCTCAAATGACCTAGGTAAAGGCAGTAACCTCTCGAAGTCTGGTTTGT